CCATCCTATTCTCCTCCGCCCATCCCTGTAACCTGTCTAGTGCCAAAGTGTAACTTAAAGGTATGTTAATGGAGTACCTGTGCTAAAACTTGCTGCAGTTTCAAAAAAGGTAAAATGTATCAGTTCTGGATGAACTAAGTTTATGGGTACTTGTGAGAGAGAGAGAGAGTTACAGGGCTCAAAAGTACAAGAGCTAAATAAAGAGTCAGTAGCCCCAGACCCACAGCCCCAAAGAGCCCGGCAGAAACCCTCCTTACCCAGGTGTTTCTGGATGGAAGGGGCTGTGAGCACCAATGCTGGTATAAAGAAGAGCCCGGAACAGACAAAGGGGGGGAGTGTAGAACTGGAAGGAGAAGGACTGAGCCGATGCACGCTGCAGGGAACCTCAGAGCAACATGGAGAACGGGTAAGAGACTCCTGCAGAAAGCGAGCTCCCCAGAGGGAACTTAGAACGAGGAATGCTGACCTGGCAATACTTAGAACTGTTTGTTACCACACCGGGAGCTGGCGGAGCCCAGCAGAGTTTTTGTACCGTAAAGTCCCTAATAGAGGGGCACTATAGAATTGTGGTACTGTAAGGTCCCTAAAAGTGGCACAAGCCAAAATGGTGTTATAAATGCACCAAATGGGATGAGGGGAATCATGACAACCTCAATGAGAGGCACGGGAAGAGCCACCCAAGCATGGGTAGGGGACGAAAAGAAGGACTGACCTCACAAAAGTCAATTTTGTTTTTTGCTCGGTTACAAGGAGCTGGAACCCTAGCCCTGGGATGGGAGTGCCTGGTTTTGTTTTTTTCTATTGTTTTTCTTCTGCTTGGGATGGAAGTCATGCTGCAGGACCAAGCAGCTGATCAGAACCCGGTGGAACAGGCGAGGGTGTAGGGGTGGCAGAGCCCTCAGGAACGTAGGACCTTCACGGTAGATGACTGTGGGAGTATTAATGGGACTACACATCCAGGTACTGAACCAACTCCTTTAACAGCAAGTCGTGGCAGGCGAAACATGGGTGTGTAGATCTCCAATTAGAAACGGTCTCACAATAGTCGGCCGGCAGGCGGTGTCCTACAGGTCTGCAAGTGAAGGAGATACTTGACAGTGGTGCATTGGCCAGGAAATTCAGCAACAGTCTCCCAAGAGGGATCAAAATGGAGTGCCAACCGGTGTTGACAGGGCCAGAATCCTTGCAACAGACTGAGAGCCTGATGGCACAGGTGCTGCAGCAGCAGCAGCAACAGGTAGCAAGGCAGATGGCTATAGAGGAACACCTGATTCAACAACAGGTTTGGGCACAAAGGGGCCTTTTGGACATTAGGATGTCTAAGATGACTAAAGAGGATGATCCAGAGGCATTTTTATAAATTTTTGAAAGGGCAGCCATAGCATCCGGGTTGGAAAAGGTGAGATGGGCTGGACAGTTGGGAGTCCTCTTGATCGGATAGGCCCAGGCGGCCTATAGGGCCATGACCCGGTTAGATGCCCAGGACTATGACAAAGTGAAGGGAGAAATATTGCAAAGACTTAATATAACCCCAGAGAGACACCGACAGACATTTAGAGGGAGGAAGCAAAAGGACGAAAAGGTACCACGACTACTGTGGCAAAGCTTGCAGATCTTATGAATAAGTGGCTTAAACCTGAAGTCCATTCCAAGGAAGAAATCTGTGACCGAATACTGTTGGAACAGTTTATATCAGATTTGGAGGAAGACGCAGAGATGGGTAAGATGCCATTGCCCCAAGTCTTCCCGAGAAGCCCTGCAGTGGGCGGAAGACTTTGATATGGCACAAGGAGCGATGCGGTGGGACCGAGGTACAAGAGGGACAGGAGCGGGCTATTTGCAGGAGACAGACCGAAAAGGTGAAAGAGAGAACAGAGGAAGTAAGAAATGAAACCCAGCGGGGCCGGTCTGTTTCACCTGCAGTAGACGGGGCCATATAGCTTGGAACTGTTCCCGGGGTCCGTGGATGACACTGGGACCAAGAGAAACCGAGACAGAACCCGTGGATCTTCAAGCGGGGCCGAGGGAAGGACAAGATATGGAACTGATGGATTGTAGTGTGGGGGACAGCTTGACAGGGAATGTACAACCCCTGCCTGAGGTGACTATGTGGGTGGAAGGCCAGCCGGTACAAGCCGTGGTCAACACAGGATGCACCCAATCTCTGGTTCGGCCATCGTTGATAGCCTGGAAACAAGCCCCGAGATGTGCCGGCGTAAAGCTGGTCTGCCTTCCTAGGCAAAAGGCATATTATGAACGCCATTTATTGCACATGCAGGCGAAGTAGGTCAGCAGAAAAATCCCGGTGGGATTGGAGGAAAAAGTTTTGTACCCCATGATATTAGGTAGAGACTGGCCGGAGATTTTTGAAGTTATAGCATCACTCTATAGACCAGATGACACTAGAGAAGGACTAGTCGGGGCAGGTACAGGGACAGAAGAAGAACTGGAAATAGAAACATTTGCCAGTAGCAGTCAATTCTGAGGCACCCAGGAGAGTGATGAAGAACTTCGGGCATTCAGGAAAACTGAACAAGCGAAACTCAACCAACAGGTAACACACCCCGAACAAAATAAGCCAGTGCCACGGTGTGAGATGCGTAAGGGGTTATTATACAGGATTAAGAGGGGTAAAGCCGAAAGGGAGGAGGTGGCCCAGTTAATCATACCCAGATCTTACAGAGAGCCACTCCTGCGCTTAGTGCATAGGAATCCCTTGGGAGGACATCTAGGCAAGAATAAGACCTAAGCTCACCTGGCTAGATGGTGTTTCTGGCCCCACATGTATGAGGAAGTTGAAAGATTCTGTTGGGTCTATAAAGTATGTCAGAAGGTGAGCAGTTATAAGCCTCTCAAGGTGCCATTGCAGCAAATGCCTGTGGTTAGAGAGCCTTTTTCTAGGGTGGCCTTAGACGTAGTAGGCCCCTTACCTCGGAGCGCAGCCGGGCACCAGTTTGTTTTAGTGCTAATAGATTATGCGACCAGGTTTCTGGAGGCTATCCCATTGCGAGCCATGACAGGGCTGAGAGTCGTGGAAGAACTGATGAAATGGGTGGCAAAGTTCGGTATCCCAAAGGAGATTATTACCGACCAGGGGTCTGACTTTATGTCCCTAGTATTAAGTTCCACGTGCAAAGTTTTACAGATCCATCATTTAAGGATGGCGGTGTACCACTGCCAAACTAATGGTCTGGTGGAATGCTTTAATGGCACCCTTAAAGGGATGTTGCATCAATGTGCCCAGGTAGAGCCTAGGAAATGGAACTTGTTGGTGGCACCCTTGCTGTATGTGATTAGGGATGCCCCTCAAGCCTCATTGGGGTACTCGCCATTTGAGTTAACCTATGGACACAGACCCCGGAGTCTGTTGGATATAGTGAGAGAAGGGTGGGAGGAAGACCCTGTGACGGGAAGAGGGGCGTCAGAGTACGTTCAGGATTTAAAAGAGCGCTTCCAGTTGGTGAGGGAAGTGA